GAGCAGCAGGGCTCGCTTTAATACTACCAACTAGGGCCGGGTGATTAGGCAAAAAAAAAAATGATCACGATTAATTTTTTCATATCGTCGGATCACGATTAATATCACGATTTCTTTTTTTTGGATCAAGGTCTTTTAATAATTTTTTTAACAAACCTCAAAAAAGAGCAGACTTACAAAAACACAAAACACATACCCCCAATATCCCTCCCATCCCACCCCTCCTATACCGGATCCACTGAAACAACCAAAATCGATACAAGTGATGCAATAAACAGGTTTGTGTACAATGAAACAATATTTAACCTTTACACAAAATTATCTGCCGAAATTTTTTAATATCACGATTTCTTTAACTGTTAAAAAGTGACTAAGAAATAATTTAACAAATAAATGTAGCTACAGAAAAAAAGGCTGTTATTTCACTTTTACTAATTTAACAAATAGCTGTGGTTCAGTAGAACATGAAAGTATTTGTGCAAGGTATTTAAAAAAGTATTTACCAAGAAAAAAAAACAATTATGTGTAAATCATAGAATCTCATTAATAAAGATATTATTTTGTAAAATTAAAGTTTTAAAATAGAATTTCACATTAAATATACCATAAAGAAACATAAACCCTACAAAACAGCAACATTTTCTGCACATTTGCCAACTGAATAGGACCGAAGCTCATTCCTTTAGTTATGGAAGGAACCCCCAGGAGTTGCAGCGTCTCTCAGCTGCTGTTTGTGATGTGACTCAGACAGGAAGTGGTCTTCACGTCGCGTCTAGCCCATCGTGTGCCCATAAAACTTACAGAAAAGTTCTTCTCCAGATAAATGAAGAACTGCTGGGACATTGTTCTGTCCTAAACGTTACCCTAAGACCATTTCATAGTTTTGGAGGACGTTTTTATTTTAGCGAGCCGCGCACAGCCACAGTGGCTTCCTTAGCCTTAGCAACTTATAAACYGACGTGGAGCAGGAGAAGGTGGATTRGGATTGACTYTTGTTGCGTACATTTCCGCCATGTTTGATCGAGGAAGAGGCTCACAGCTGATCACCGTGGTCGACCTGAATTTTTCTCGATCAATAATCGTGATCAAATAATCGCCCAGCCCAATAGCACGAAGCCTGTGCTGCGAGGCAACGGAGTACAGAATGGGTCCAGTTTCTGAGTGTTAAAGTGATGTTAGCYGAATCAATGCCAACATGGGCTAATGTTCAAAGCAGTAAAAAACTTTCAACTCAGTGATCGCTGTTCCATCTCCTATATAGGGGTGTGTCTCTGTACTGTACTGTTTTGACCAACTGGAAAATTAAACTGCAGTAACCACCATTCAACCCATAAGAGGGCAGCACTAAGATGGTTTTTAGACCAAATCTTGCAGAATTAAAGAAACTTAAATGAAAATTTCAAACGTTACACAGAAATATAAAGAAAGATAATAAACTGCCTAGCAATTTTTCTGTTTAAAAAGGTTGATTTTGGATTTAGTTAGAAGACAATGTCAAGGCTTTTAGATAGGCTATGATGCTAAGTCAAGCTTATTTTACTTGATTGTAGTATAGAATATGTGCCTGGAAAATACATAATACCCCCATTTAGCTTAAGCTTCCAGCCACTATAAACTCTTCTTTTTTGGAGATTTCAATCACTGTGGATTTTTAATGAGTTCAATTTTACATTCAGGTCTTAAAAACAGATTAACAGCTTGATGTCGACTCTGTTGCTAATTATAGACCCATCTCACAACTATCCTTCTTATCTAAGATCTTCAAAAAAGTTGTCTCACAGCAACTTATCAGCTATCTGTCAGCTAATAATTTGTTTGAGACGTTTCGATCTGCTTTTAGATCCAACCACTCTATAGAAATTGCTTTAACTAAAGTGGTAAATGACTTATTGGTAAATGCAGACAATGATCATTCTTCTGCCCTATTGCTATTAGACCTAATCGCAGCTTTTGATACTGTTGATCACTGTATCTTATTGGATAGACTTGAACATGACATTGGAATCTCTGGTAATGTATTCTCATGGCTGAAATCATATCTAACTGGTAGATCTCTGACTGTTTATTTTAAAAATAAGCTCTCTGCAATCTGCACTGTGAAGCATGGGGTCCCTCAGGGGTCCGTGCTGGGCCCCCTGCTGTTCTCATTATATCTTTTGCCCCTTGGTCTTCTCCTTCATTCATTTAACATTACTTTCTACTGCTATGCTGACGATCTACAGCTGTACTTGCCTTTCACAGTGGGAAACTGTGCCAACTTGCCTAATTTGGAGGCCTGTCTGTTAGCGATTAGGGGTTGGTTATCTAACAATTTCCTGCTCCTCAACATTGACAAGACTGATTTATTCATCACTGGCCCAAAAAAGTTCCATGGATTGTCTCAAGTTTTTACCCTGCAAATTGATAATAAGATCATTAGATGTCAAGAAACAGTTAGAAACCTAGGTGTGTGGTTTGATCCGGTGCTTTCTTTTGATTTCCACTTAAAATTAGTAACTAGGACCACCTTTTACCATCTTAGGAATATTGCCAAAATCCGGCACATTCTTTCTTTCAACGACGCTGAGGTCCTCATCCACGATTTTGTGACTTCACGCATTGATTACTGCAACTCTCTCCTTTCTGGACTACCCAGGAAAAGTTTTAGATGTTTGCAGATGGTCCAGAATGCAGCTGCCCGTATTTTAACTCATTCTAAGAAATATGACCACATCACCCCCCGTACTGTCATTCCTTCACTGGTTGCCCTGTCAGGCATGTGCTGATTTTTAAGGTTTTGCTGAAAGACCTTAAATGGCCTGGCGCCTTCATTTCTCACTAACCTGTTACATCCCTTTGTTCCACCACGATCTCTCAGATCGGAAGGTACTGGCCTATTAATGATTCCTAAAGCTAGAAGACCATTGATGAATGTGCCGTCTCTTTTCGTGCCCCCTCTCTGTGGAACAATCTCCCTCAGGACATCAGGCAGGCTTGTTCTGTTGAGGTTTTTAAAGCTAAGGACGCACCTCTTCAAACTCTCTTATTTGTCTTAATTTTATCTTTTAATTGTTTTTAATCTGTTTTTGTYATTTTATCTTTGCTTTCTATGTTTTTATCTTGTTTTCTGTGATTTTATCATTGCTTTTTGTGAATTCATTTCTTGTGATTTTATCTCCTGTGATTTTATCTCTAGTTTTGTTTTTATTTGTTCTTGTGATCTCTTTTTTTACTTGGTGACTTTGCCTTTTGTCATCTGTGATTTTATCTCCTGTTCAGCGCTTTGTCTGAAGGCGCTTTACAAATAAAGTTATTATTATTATTATTATTATTATTATTATTATTATTATTATTATTATTATTATTATTATTATTATTATTATTATTATTATTATTATTAAAAACACAGCTGATTTCTTTTTCAACTGTGTTTTGAAATGGAAAAACCAAAATAACAAACCATCCACAGGTTCCTGAAATTGTGATCACCCAGGTAAGGGGTTTGTATCAGACTAATTCCTGGTGCTTACTTTGTTTCCTACAACAGAAAATTCTTATTTTAACCAAAAATGTCATAAAGTAAACAAACAGTGTTATAAGAGACACACCTGGACATTAAAAGGTAATGGTGGCACAGTGGGATCCAAGGTAAACATATGATCGCAGAGAAGCGCCTGCATACACAGAGCAAGACTGTCCACGTCCCTCGCCATGGGCCCAGGAGAAGACAGCACTAATACAAAAAACAACATGGCAAAGTGAACCACATGTCCCAGGTTTTTAATATACAGCTGAAGTTTTTGTTTTAATGACTGCTTACCAGACTTTTGTCCTCGATAAATTGGAACTAACCCCTGGTGGCTGAAGGTGACACAGAGATAAAGGTTAACTTGACTAACTGCAGTCACGATCCATAAAGGTTACTCACCTGAGTCGACCCGAAGTTGGCTTAAAGCCGCAAATCCCACAGAACGAGGCGGGAATCCGGATACTCCCCCCTATGTCAGTGCCTATGCCGAGAATGGAGCCCCCTCCTCCGATGAGAGCCCCCTCTCCACCAGATGAACCGCCAGAGGTCTTCTGGGGATTATGAGGATTAAGGGTCTGCCCATAGATGGGGTTACTGCAGTCATAACTGTGGATGAGGCAAGARAAACACAGATAAATGACATATTTGTTTAGGCAGTGTGTGATATCAAACGCCACAGTTTAACCTTACTTCAACAGTGCCTGAGGCAGGTTGGTCTTCACGAACGGAATAGCCCCTTGCTTCTTCAGAACTTCAACAATGACGCTGTTTTTTTGAGCAGGCTGGTCCAATTTAATGATCACACCACAAGTACAGTCTTGACCCTCGGTTGTAAAGGGAGAAAAAAGCATTAAAAAGAAGAGGACAGTGACAGAAAACAGCACATCAAAGTTTTAAATCTGACCTAAACCTTAAAGGAGTATGGTACCGAAGTACATTTATTTCGTTACTGTACTTAAGTAATTTTTTTAAAGATCTGTAGTTTACAAAGTATTTTTTAATCATATTTTTGTTTCGTTACATTCAAAACATAAAATTATACTTCTACATCTTTAAAATTTAACACCCCATTACATGCTTTAAATTTAAATATAACTGAAACTTATCATGAAAGTAGTTTATGTACTCTATAAAATTAAAAGTTGAATTTACACCAAGTTATGTCAACTGGTTCCACTAAACCAAGTTGAGTAAATGTAAAGCAAATTGCAAATTGCTTTACATTTACTCAACTCGGTTTAGTTTTCTCATTGTTCTGTAAGTACTCTATTTATTCATGTATAATACTAGAAATTCAACCCTAAAAATCATCCATAAAGTGGAGGGGTAGTATTATACACAGGTTATTGGATTTTGAATGCTTTTTAAGTTAAAAAAAAATGCTCATCGTATTATATATGAATAAATATGGTATATATCTCTGAAAACAAAAATATTCACTTTGTTTATTAATTAAAGTGGGGGGTATCACTGATATGTATTATCCAGGAGTATAGTTAAATAAAGGGGCAGACATTATACGATTTATTCTTCTTCTGCTACCTTTCATTTTATTTTGATTTGTGTATGTTCTGTTTCCATTAGTTTTTAATGAAATGAATAAATTTTGAATTGAATTGAATAGTTCAATTGTATACCACCAACAAGTAACTATGTTACCTTCCTTCAGTTGTTGTGAAAATGCTGTTTATATCAATAAAATTTTTGACTTTGCATCAAAGCCTGTCTAAATACCTTGAAATTGGTCTTTGTCTCTTTAAAAACCTCCAACCATTTCTGACACTCCCACTTCAGCACAACTTCACATCAATGCTTTGGGGGAGGGGTGCTCTGTGGGGCGGGAGCTTGACTGCAGACTGAGCTCCAGGGAGGAGRTTTGTGTAAATAGGCGGGGCTTTGTACCAGCAAGTGTTTAGACAGCTCCACGTGGCCCCAGGATATTCAAGGATTTTTTAAAACATGCATGAATGAGTCAAAACAACAATCTGGGTATGTGTATGATGAGGGAATGACATTATAACATGAAAGCTCAAAAAAGGCAATTTTGCATAATACCCCCCTTTAAGTTTATTAGTTAGAATGATCTATTATTATCTCTACATTTTGTGCAAGACGTTGTTCAAAATACAAATAAGACTAATTTACAAGGAGTCTGCAATAATGGTGTTAAGTGTAATGACATTTTCTTTTGTTTTTGGGTACAAGTTGTATTTACACAAGACACTTTATTTGTACCTTAGTTTTTTATTTATTTATTTTTTAATCTAAGACAGTCTGGACACGTTTTGTTGTGTTCTTATAGAAGGCACTTTAGTTTGTTTTCAGGCAGACAGCAGCACAGTCATAGAGGAATGTGATTCTATGTTAAGACTTGTGGGTTTCACTGAGTTCTTATAGACAGTACTGTTGTTTTTCTGGGCTAGTTTTCTACAAATTCTACCTTCATTATTTTCACCAAGTGAAATAAAGGGACCAACAAGAGAACAATTTTGCTCAAGCTTCTTTTTATCTAATAAAAAAACTGTACTTTTACTTTCCTGATTGTGAGCAGTTTTATGACTTTAACTTAAAATACCTTAACAGAAAATGACTGTAAAATGAATTTCACAGATAAGAAACTTTTTTATGTAATTCTTTTTTTTCCCCATGTACTTCATATACCTCTGCTAAATCTAGACAGCTGCAGAT